CTTTAGCCTTTCGACCTGTCGAACCCTGTCGGCTAACTGAGCCATGTCCCTCAAATATTGAGTGTCTAGTTTCTTTCGAATAGAGTAATCCAAGCCACCAGCGGCCATTTCGACTAACTCATGTTCAGGCACCACTGTGTAACATCTGGATTTCAAAAGCCTAAATCTATTCAGATAATCATCTATGGGTTCAATGAACTTTCTCTTGACACTGGCTAATTCCTTCAAGCTTATTTTTGACTGTCCCATGTAAAACTGTTCATGGAATAATCTTTCCAAAAGAGCCCAAGTGTCAATGGACCCAGGAGGCAAAGTGGTGAACCATGTGAAGGCGTTTTTAGTCAGGGAACTTGGGAAGTATTTGATCCTGAGGTCTTCGTTATTGGCTATATCTCCCGCTTCGGTTAGATATCTGGCTATATGTTCGACTGTTGACTCATTGGTATCCCCAGTGAACTTTGTAAATTTAGGGACTTTATACCCCCTTGGTAAATCAATATGCATTATGCAATCTAATATAGGAGAAGCATAATTTAGCCTTCGAATTCCTGTGTTGAGGCCATTCTGGGCCATGACTCTCTCTATCATGGTGGTTAAATTGTTTTCTGCCAAGATGTTATCGTTTCGAATTCTATGAATGACAACATCAGCATCTTGATTTCGACCCACCATGACAACCCCCCTAGGTTGTTCTTCTCGAAACTCTGGGACTTCCAGCCTTTCGACCCTTGCCCCTGGTTCCATAATTTCTCTCTGTGGGCCTGGGATCATTGGGGCTTCTAGCCGTTGTGCCCTTGCCCCCAAGTTAACTTCTCTAGGTGGTCTATAGTTTGGGTCGTTAGCAACTTGTTCCATAACAGGCATGTTTGCTCGAACTCCCGCCTGATTCTGCCTACGCCTCTCTGGGGGAGCAAAGAAATCTGCTATTCGACTCATGTTATCAGCGTTTTCTCTGTTTGTCACAGTCACATTTTGTACTATTGGGGCAAATATTTCCTGCATAGTTTGTGCTAATACCCCTATCATATTATGGTTACTGTCATCTATCAATTGCCTAAAAGCCAACTAGTTTTCTGTGGTTAAAATAGGCATTGTGCTATAACCCACTGACCCTTGGTTATTTGTCATAAACTGATTCGCCCCAGACCCAGACCCTAATTGTGGTGATGAATTCGATGTGGAATTGTGTAAACCTGCCATAAAAGATGTTGGCATTCCATAAGAGGAATTTCTGGTTCTATTACCATCGAAACCGGGTGGTCTAGTTAGTGAAGTGGCGAAATGGGTTTGTGTCCCTGATGGTGGAACAAATCCCCCAGGATAACCAATGGTTCCAGTATTTCCTAAGATCGAACTATTAGTTGATATGCCACTTACTCCATTAGTGTCTATATTACTGGTAGAAGATGCAACAGACTGTGCATTCGAAGGGATCACATTAGACATTCCCATCGAAGCGGACACGTTAGTGCCTGTTGTATGTGGGGCATTTTGCTCCCCTTGTTGATTGTCAGAGTTAGACATCTTGTTCAAACGTTTCCTTCTGGATAATGGTTGATTGATGTTGGTTATTTTACCACTTCTTAGGTTCATAAAACAACAAACTTATCACTCAGAGGGTCTTTTTATAATAGTTATGTCTCAACAATCTTTATTTCTGTTCTAAATTCTGTAACGTCCAACGATTGGTCCCACCGGGTGTGCAAATTTGTTTACAGTGATTTTTGGTAAACAACCGCTAGTCCTCCAAACTATAGAATAAACTTACTGACTGTTATTCAATTTCTCTGGTAACTCGCAGGATCGACTAGATTGATCCTAGGACGTGTTGGTCATTAGGGTAACTCTCATGATCGAACAGGTATTCATGGTTGGTATTTAGAATATTGTGTAGGTGTTTGACTTATTTCGATTTCTCTCTTAAAGATCTAAAGGTGTAATCAAAATATATGTGCGGGAAACTAAATTGCATGAATAAAAGTTAATTGTAAAGACATGTGAAAACTGCATAAAGACAAGTAAATGACTTCGAAACGTAAAGAAAACAGTTAATGTAAAAGATTCGAAATATGAAGAAAGCGTTTAATGCAAGAAAACTGTAAAATTGCTTTAAGTAAAAAAGGGTGTTCGAAGGATAGAAACTTGAAGATAAAGGCATGAAATGTATGACAGTTTCTGAAAGGTAAAGTACTTGAAATGGAAAGAAAGCATTTAAATGTAAGGCATTAGTGAAAAGATTTCGAATAAAAAGACTTTAGATGCAAAAACTTGTAAATGGTATTGACATAAAGATAAGGAAAGTACTGGAAATGATAAAGGGTTTTCATTAAATCATAAACATGTGGTGTTATCATACGTACATTGCTCTTGCATTCGTTTCCCTAGCCATGTGGTAATTTGAATGTTTACTGAGTTTTTTGTACAAATAGATATGACACACGAAATCCTAATGCTAAGACTTCTATTTATACTACTTCGACCATAACGGTCTTGCTATAAGATTCTGCCACGTTCAGAACATGCAGAGAAATGCCTCTCTTTTGCTTCCACGTGTCTTCGAATGCTCCAGCGCATATATTTCAAATTTCGAACATCCCGCTTGCATTTGAATTTCAAATGTTTTGGCACTTCTTCGCTTCGAACGCACTTCTTAGACACAGCCTTGTTGTCATTTCGAGACTTCTTTGGATATATTCTCATAATTGTCACTCGAAGCTCCAAGCTTTGATATGCTCATTCGAAGCATTGCTTCTACTATTTAGAAACATGACGTTTTGTTTCATTTCGATCGAAACGTCCAATTTACTTTGCTTCTAATAATATTATCAAAGTCTTCAGCCAACACCATGTCATTCTTGTGAACTCATCCACAAAAAACACAAAGTAATTGTTTCCTCCAAGTGAAGGTACTGTAAATGGTCCACACACATCAGAATGTACTACTCCCAGAGCATGTTTCGCTCTGGGGGCTACTTCTGATGTAAATGGCAATCTAGGTTGCTTACCTTTCATGCATATCTCACATGACTTCCCAGGCTTCACAATTTTCGAAATACCACGTACGAGCTTCTTAGAACATAGATGCCCTAAGCTTCTATAGTTTAAGTGCCCTAACCTCTTATGCCACAGCTTACTGTTACTTTCAGCACCTTCTGCACTAAGGCACGTTGCTTCAGTTGTTTCTACATTCACCTTGAATGTTCTGTTGCCTCCTTGTTCAGATTTCATAATTAACTTCTGATTGGAATCATACAACGTCAGAAGATTGTTTTTCATAACAACTGAAAAACCTTTCTCAATCAGCTGACCTACGCTCATCAGATTGCTTCTAATACCAGGAACATACCAGACGTCTTTGATCATAATTTCTTTCCCATTCTTCACTCTAATTCTAACATTTCCCATACCTTCTGTATTAAGATACTTATCGTCAGCACATCTGATCTTTGTACTCCTTCTGGAGTCAAAGTCTGTCAGCCATTGTTTGTTTCCAGTTAAATGATTTGAGCAGCCAGTGTCCATATACCACCAATCTTCTGAGCATTTTCCATCATAGTCAGAGGCCATTAGCAGTACAGGTTCATCATCAGAGTTTCTCTTAGCCATATATGCTTCTTCTGATTTCCTATCCCTGTTTGACCTACAATCTCTGGCAAAATGGCCCAATTGTTTACAGGAGTAACATTGAACCTTCCTTTTGTCATACCTCTCTTTTCCTTTATGATACTTCTTATCATCAGAAGTTGAGGCTTCTGACTTCTGGAATCTATCACCACGTCTATTCTGTTTATGGTCTTTCTTGACAAAAGAAGGCTTCAGAGCTTGCTCAGCTTCTCTCTCAGAAGTTCTCTCAGACAGACGTAACTCTTGTGCTTCTAAGCTGCTTTGTAATTCTTCTATTTTCATGGTTTCCAGATTTTTAGAATGTTCAATAGAAACAACAATGTAATCAAACTGAGGAGTGAGCGACCTCAGAATCTTCTCTATGATTATCTGTTCAGTCAGAGTTTCTCCACACGCCTTCATCTCGTTAGTGATCAGAATTACTCTGGAGATATATTCAGAAACTTTCTCACTGCTCTTCATGTTCAGGTTCTCATATTGCTTTCGTAGGGATTGAAGCTTCACCTTCTTTACTGATGCGTCACCACCGTAACATCTCGTCAGTAAATCCCACGCCCCTTTAGACGTTGTTGAATCAGCAATCTTCTCGAACACATTTTCATCCACACACTGATGGATATAGAACAGAGCTTTCTGGTCCCTCTTTCTCATCAACCTCTCAGCAGTTCTCTGTTCTTCAGTTGCATCTGCTGCAGCTGGTACATAACCATCTGTAACCAGATCCAGAACATCTTGTGCACCGAACAGTACACGCATTTGTATCATCCATCTGTTTCAGTTTTTGCCATTAAAAACTGGAAGTTTAGTGTTCAAACTACCGTCTCCACTCATTTTAAACCTTGCACGGATTTTCAGATCTTAAACACATTGTTTCCCAATCCACAGAATCAAAATTCTGTTCAGAATTTTGTTCAAGATTTCAACAGAAAATCAAAGAACAAAACTCAAACACACAGCTCACAACCACTCGCGTTTCCCAGGAAAAACAGAACCAAAAGCTCCTGATACCAATTTGTTGGTGCAAAGTAATGGAAGGAGAGAAAAAGAATGAACAATGAATGATAACAAAGAGGACTACTTCTTAATATTCAAATAGAGGAATGGATTTTGGGATACAATATTGATAGCCTAAGTAGCATATTTATACTAGAAATTGAAAATGCCAAAAGGCCCTAATAAAGAGTAAATATTGAGAATTGTGGACATTAAATAAATTACATTTCCAATACTTTTAACATCGCATTAGAAAAACACAAACATTTTGTATACCTTGAATCTCATAGTGCAATCCTAAATATATAATTGCATGTAGATTATTGAGCAAGCAAGATACCAAAAATAAGTCTATAATATTTTACACTTAGACCTAGCTGGATTCATCTAGGGGAGCTACCACCTTGAAGTTTAACAAGAGAATAGTAAGCTCCATTTCTTCCAAGTGAAATCAAATCATTATGTGAACCTTGTTCCACAACTTTCCCATTCTTAATCACAACAATGGAGTTTGATTTCTGTATTGTAGATAGCCTATGTGCCACTGCTATACATGTTCTTCCAACCATTATTTTCTCAAGTGCTTCTTGGACCAAAATCTCTGACACACTATCAAGTGCACTTGTAGCTTCATCCAGAAGAAGAATTGCTGGATTCTTTAGTATAGCTCTGGCTAAAGCTATTCTTTGTTTCTGTCCTCCTGATAGCTGAACTCCTCTTTCTCCACAGTTTGTTTCATACCCTTCATTCATTCCACTGCAAAAACAAACACTAGTTTTAATAGGATGAAGCATGAACACAGACATCAGACACGGTACTGGCATTGACACGTAGATACTGATAATAATTTAAGAAAATTAAAGTCATTGAATGAAGAGTTTATACCTTATGAATTCGTGGGCATTAGCAACAGTAGCAGCTCTTCGTATCTCAGATTCAGTTGCATTTTCTTTTCCATAGGCGATGTTATCTCGAATGGTTCCACTAAAGAGGGTTGGTTCTTGACTCACCAAAGCGATATGAGACCTTAGCATTCTCAAGTTATAGGACTTGATGTCTTGTTCATCTATACATACCATTCCCTTGATAGGATCATAAAACCTTTCAATCAGACCAATGATAGTGGATTTACCACAACCACTGTTTCCCACAAGCGCTACTGTCTTTCCAGCCTCAACTTTGAGATTCAGACCCTGGAATACCATTTGCTCGGGTCTAGACGGATAGGCAAAGAATACACTTTTAAGCTCCACCCTGCCCCTGATCTTTCTTTTTTTATCTGACCCCCATAAGGTTTCAGGATCAATCTCACTTTTCCTGTCTAGGATAGCGAAAACCGATCCAACCGCATTGCTTCCTTTAGATATGTCAGAAGTCATGCTACCAGCTTCTGCAATGATGTATGCAGTAAAGAGCAATATTAAAAATGCTTGGAAGAGATGCGTCGGTTCTATGAGACCTTGTATTAGGAGCTTCCCACCATACCAATATGCCAATGCTGTTGATCCAGTGTTGAAAAATTGTGACGTGAAAAGACCAAAGCCTGAAATCCATGACTGTCTAATGCTCTCCTGTTTAGGTCCTGTCATTGTAGATTTGAAGAGGGCTAACATTCTTTTCTGAGAACTGAAAGCAGTTATGGTTCTATGGTTTATAACGGCTTCACTTGCAAGTTGGCTTCCTTCCCTTTGTGCTTTACGAGTTTTTTCCGCCATAGTCTTCATCAAAACACTTCTTGAATAGAAGCTTCCAATGACTAATGGCTGCACTGCAATCATCACAAGTGAAAGCCTCCATGTGAGAACAAGTCCTATAGTGTAGGCAAAGACAGATCCAAAGACTGCTTGAGCAAGAAGAGACATCCGGTCGCCAACAAGGGAACGGACCAAGTTGGCTTCAGAGGCTAGTCTCGCACAGATGGCTGCACTTGTGTTGTCTTCATGATCAAACCATCCTATCTCAAAACTCATCAATTTTTCTAGTATTTTCTCTCGAATTCTTTTCGTCAACCTCTCTCCCATGACAGCAAAATTGTAGTGCTGGAGAATACTAGTGAAGAAGTTAAAAACACCAATTCCTAAGAAAGCGAGGGCTAGGACTCTAGTTTTTGACTTCATCTTAGAGGTATCAGGTTCAAAATAAACCGATATGAGTAATCCAACACAGTATGCATTTACAGGTTGTACTGCTCCTGAGCCTATTGCTCCCAATATTCCTAAAACTCCTCTTCCCCACTCGGGGGCGTTCATTTTCAGCAAACGCCACGTTGATGGAGCTGGATGGTTTGGTCTCTTCAAGTCATCTTCAAAACTATCATCATCATGGTCATATTGGATTGAATATGAGTAAGGCGTGCCGATGGAAAATCCCTGGCTGAAGGGATACAACATTGGAGTGCCCGGTGTGCTTGATTTGAAACTTACTCCTGGACTTTGAGGAACGCTCATCCTGTGAGAGCTCTTTCCTTCTATTTGAGGATTGGAATGTTTGGACTCATCATTCTGAGTTGTTACTTGTTGCAACTCTACCATACGAGCATACTCTCCGCCTTGTCCTCCGTTAATTTCCATGAGCTCATTATGACTACCTGATTCAATCACTCTCCCTGCTTGAAGCACAGCAATATTGTCGGCTGTTCTTATTGTAGACAGGCGATGAGCAATGATGATTGTTGTCCTTCCTTTTGAAGCTTGATCAATTGCTGCCTGTACCACTCTTTCAGATTGAGAATCCAATGCACTTGTTGCTTCATCAAGCAAGAGAACCTTTGGATCCCTAAGTAAAGCTCTCGCAATGGCAATGCGCTGCTTCTGTCCACCAGATAATTGAAATCCAAACTGTCCAACCTATAGGAAAATCATAGTAGTTTTGAGTAATTGCTTCAAATAAAAACAAGTTTATATAGTAGTCTTCTTTTTTTCAACTTACTTGAGTTTCATATCCATCTGGTAATTTGACAATGAAATCATGTGCATTTGCTGCTTTAGCTGCATTTATCACACTTTCCATTGAAGCACCTTCTTTTCCAAACAATATATTCTCTTGTATGGATGTGGCAAAAAGAACAGGCTCTTGATTCACTAGACCAAGATTAGATCTCAACCATTTCAATTGAAGCCTATTAATCTTGTGACCATCCAATAATATTTCTCCTTCTATAGGGTCATAAAACCTTTCAAGCAGTGCAACGATAGTAGATTTTCCCGAACCACTACCCCCAACAAGACCTATCCTCTTGCCTGCTGGAATAACGAGATTGAATTCCTGCAAGACTGGCGAATCTGGCCTAGATGGATAACAGAAATATATATCTTTAAATTCAATTTCTCCTTTCACATGGGATAAAGCCTTTCCTTTCTTCTCTTCAGAATCTATAGTTGGCACCCTATCAACCATTTCGTAAATGCGAGTGACCGCAGAAGTTGCCTCCATGATCGCAGTTAAATTTGGAAGTGCACTCAAAATGCTCCTGAAAAATTCATCAAAGTTAAACATATTTTTTTTTTGTCTTAACCCTCCAGTTCTCAGAGGAATGGAGCGAGCTCTAATGGTTCAGAGTTCGTCCAGGAGATAAGTAAAGTCTGACCGAAGATTGTTCAGGTTCGAAGTTAAACATATCAGTATCAACACGAATATAAAAAAGTAGTGATTATAAAACTAGAGTATAAGTAATGATAAAATCACTCACAATCCTCCCATTAGGATGTTGAATCCAGCTACAAAAACATGGCCACCTTTTTCTCCTTTTTCAGATATCAAAAATGTTCCAACCCAAGCTTGAAAACCCCAACTAACATAAATAATTCCCATACTTCCTAACATCAACCCCTTTGCAAAACCTTGCTTTATTCCAAGTTCCATAGTTTTTTGAAGTGCAGTGCTAAATCTTTTTAGTGTTTGATTCTCCCCAACATAAGAGAAAACAGTTCTTATTGAAGATATTGCTTGCTCAGCAATCCCACCAGCAACACCATAAGATTCTATCATTTTCATTGTGACGTCCAACATCATCTTCCCAAATACAAGCGCCGGAACAATGAACATGACAGACAGTGGTATGGCTGCCAATGCTAGTCTCCATGAAAGTACAATGGCAAAAATATGACAGAAAAAGAATGTTGACATGTAAGTCATGCAGTCTGGTATCTACATGCAGAAAAAGTAAGAAATTAATAAAGCATGATAAAGATTAAGAATTTTAGTAATTCAGAATTTGAAACCATTCTGTTTAGAAGGAAATATGGATAACTGCAGACAAACCTTCTCGCACAAGGCGGATTGGACTATGTTTGCATCCGAGGAGATGAGTGAAACAACTTGGTATGTTGTTGAAGAACCGGCGGTTTGCGTGTCAAAGAAACCAACCTCTTGTCTTAAAACTGATTTTAGGTACTCCATTCTCATTCTCGAAGCCTGTCTCTCTGCTGTTCTATTCCAACATAATCCTTCTGTAGTAACCATTATCAAATTCGTATCAAGCAAGAAAAGTAGTTAGCTTTATTTTTTATAATGCTAGGAAGATATCTAAAACAAAGCTATGAAGTTTGAAGCTTACCAATAAAAGCCGAAAACCCAACTCCAAACGCAACGCATAATAGTTTCAATGCATACTGAAAAAAAGGGAAGTAAAACGATATCTCAAAAACTGTTGAGTACTACAGAAACAAACAAGAACATATCATACTAAAATTTCTCATGTAATAGCCTATAACAGAAGATTAGTACTAGTAACTTTATTTAAACAAACTCACCATGTTCACATCATGCTGCGTTAAACGGCTATTCGTGTCTCCATAAGCATTAATCACATCACTAAGAATGTACATCATGAGAGGATTCTGCAAGCCATCTCCAAGGCTTCCAAGAGTCCCAAAGAACATCAACAACTTATCGACTCCATCTGCATAACGAAACAAACTATTGCTCCCCATTTTGGAAAGATACCTCTTTTTAGAAAGATTCACTAAGCTTTATCAGCTTAGAAAGACTTATATAAACTTGGTTAGATACTGTTAGACAAATAGAAAAATTAGCAGCCAACATGTGACTCTTACTATTGTCTTATTACAAACAAAGCCGTTCTTGATATATATATATACTATTGTTCAAACTTGAACTATGTTTGTGTGACATAGTACGCTGTCTTAATTTGTTTGTACTTGTGGTTATGTTCTTCCTAGATACTTAGCCCGGCACATGATTCCATTTGGTCACTTTTTAATGAATTTGTCTTAGTTGCAGAGAATCATTCACCTGTTATTGTCTTGGATGATGAGATGTGTAACCAATTGGACTAAGTCTTGACAAGCTAATATGGCAATGATTCGATGTTTCTTAGGCATGTTTGTTGGAAGGGTCTTTCTACCTTTGCATTGTTATGTAGGGACAGTGTGACATAAGAGGTATTTTTCTTTTTTTGCTGTCATTCTAGCCAAAAAGCTACAAAGATATTATCAATTATTCAATCAATATTATATGTTATATAGATAAACAAATATGAAAGTAGTATGTACTTTGTTCTAGGCTGATCCAATTGTCTCTACTTGTGTGCCATTTGTAACGAAGGAATATAATCTTGAAACAATATCAATAAATATGCTGCCGTCCTTCCTATATTTGTTCAAGTTGTATGTTTTTGGATTGGGATTGCTACCTTTGACTTTTTTTTTTAAAAAATTTAATTTTAACTAATAGATTACTTGTGTGTCTCCACAAGTATCAGTGTGAACTACGAAATTGTTTTCAGTTTGTAATAGGAAAAAAAATTAGAAGTGATTGTTAATTAAGAATTGATCTTACTCTTTATTGTAAATTATTTATTTTCTGTAATAAGTTTGATAAATTAGGTAATAGAATATTTGTAATTTTTTTTAACACAAGAATATTTATAATTATAATTTGTACTTACCCGTAATTATTGATACTATTATATATAGTATGGAATGCAATAGAAAAATATAAACAATTACTTTTCATGACATGGTATCATAAGAGTTCGATCAAACATGTAAATACTTGTTATCTTGGCTGAACAAGGACACCCCACTGGATTGCCTTGAAATCGTGTTTCTTGTTCGTATTTCTCTCGAAATCCTTTCGTCATCAATTGAAAGCTTTCGACTGTTGTCTCATGATTTCCTTATTGTTGTTGTTTCGTGATCTAATTCTATTGTAATTTGCGATTCAGCATTCTCGACAATTGCAGATTGTGCTTTGCAATTCTGTTTTGATATTCTAGGGCGATTCCATTTTGTAATTGTTGTTCTCAGTAATTTTGTTCGGTGTTCGACCAACAGTTGTTTCGATATTTGTGGTTTCATTGATTCGTGGTTTCTGTCCATGGTCTTGGTTCATGACTTCACTGTGGTTGGTTTGATTACTATTTTTATTTATTTAATTGTTTAAAAAAAATAGTGAATAAGAGAAATTATTGTTGCACGTGCAACAACAATGGATTTGAGATTTCTTATTATTTAAAGTAAAAAGGTTATTATATCATGATGACTTCAGAAAATGAGAAAATTAATTTGTGTCCGTTTTACCAACAAAAATTATTCTGCTTGAGAATTTTAGTTAAAGATGTATGTTAAAGGAAATGGATTATGGAGTCACTTAGATGATATGTCTAAGGCATCGACTGAGAAAACTATTTTAGATGCGTGGGAAACTAAAGATGCTCAAATCATCACTTGGATTCTCAATAATATTGACCCCTCAGATGATCAATAATTTACGCTCTTTTTCAACTGCTCAAGAAATGTGGAATCATCTGAAACACGTTTACAGTCAGGACAATTCAACAAAATATTTTCAGTAAGAGCTAGACATAGCCAACTACAAACAAGGTGATTTGTCTATTCAAGAATACTATTATGGTTTTTTGAATCTCTAGACAAAACAATCTTCTATTATACATGCTAATGTTCCCGAGATCTCTCTCGCTGTTATTCAAGAGGTGTACAACACAAGTAGGTGAGATCAATTTCTCATGAAACTTCGTTCAAAATTTGTGGTTGTCAGGGGTCCTTTGCTAAATAGGAATCACGTTCCTTCTTTGGATACTTGTGCTGGTGAACTTCTTAGGGAGGAACAACGTCTGCTTACTCAAAAAATCATGACTCATGATGTTGTTAGCTTCTGTCGTACCCCAAAATTTTCCCTCCCATTTTTACTCAAGACATGCTCATTAAGGTCTTCAATTGCTTAAGGGTGACCAAGAATTGATCAGACAAATTCTTCTCCTAAGCAATGAACCTCCAACCAGGGTTTCACTTTTCATAAAGAATTTTGGGTTGCAAAGATCTCAAGTGATTTCCATGGTCCCTAATATGTTTCCAAGAATTTCCATGACAAAGTTTCATGCCTTGCACTACAAACTTACTCAGTCAATTGCCCAAGTGTTTGAAAATCAACTGTACTAGGTCAAAAATCAATTGTGGCCAATATACAGTCAAACTTCAATATTTTTGGTCAACATCAACATTTTGAAGTGATAATCATCATTTGATCAAGGGTTTATCATGATTCCTCAAGGAATGCTCATAATTCATCAAGAGACAAGAATTACAAAATTAGAATTTCCAAGAAAAAGTCAACTAAACTTTGACCAGGCATAACTTTCACATATTTCATCCATTTTGCCCCAACCTAAGCCTATTTTGAAAAAAAATTCAATTCCCTACAACTTTTGTTTTATTCTCAAGTCCAAAAGATACTTCATTTGGAAGATATGATCTCATGCATTATAGGTCATTCTCAGAAAGTCAATAAAAAACACTTTTTGTCAAGGCAACTTACATCAAGATAAAGTCTTCAAATACAAAATCGATTAAAAGAGAAAGTGTAGAGGACATATTGGGATTTCCAAAAAGTCCAAGGTCATATTTAAAAGATGAAACTTGAGCAAGTTATGAAGTGCACAAGTTGGATAATTTTCGAAGGAAATGCATAAATTCTCAATTGAGCAAATTTGTAATTTTAAATTATCGGGCCTAACTTTTTGGAGTCCAAATATGTTCATGATGTGTCCAAGGACCTCTAAATCTATCCATGCATTTTTTTATTTATTTGAATTTTTATTCATTTAAATATGAATTAAATCAAATAAAATACAAAGAATAATGGGCCATGATATTTGGGTTTGATTTGATCTATTAGAAGGCCCATATTTTCATGCAAGATACATCCAAAGGGATCAGGTTCATGCAAGTAACTAAAGAGATAAAGATATCACAAATATGGACATTTTTCAATGTGTTTTATTCTTGTCTCCAAGGCCATGAATGCATTGATTCTTTATCATGTTTGTTCACTCCTATCTTCCCTCTATAAATACACAACAATGCAAGCCAAAAGGTGCATGAAATTCCTCTTCAAAAAGCTCTCCAAAAGCTTTCTCAAAATTCTCTAAAGAATCAAAAAGTTGCAAAATCTGTAACTTCACTTCCAAGCGCTATCAACCCAAACCAAAATCATCAACCCTCTCCTGAGTTTCCCAGGAGTCCTCCAGAGCCCAGGTTCAAGCCTTACACGTCCCAGATCCTCCTCATAACCATCCTACGGTTTTGGTAAAATTTTGAATCTCAAATCTTCTAAATCATGTAATTTAAATCAATTTTATGCATGCATTCATATTACTATTGATGTGTTGAGTAGATCTAACGTGTTACATGCGAGCTTAGGTACATGAATCCAAGAAAACCATTCTTAGGGCACTCCTCTTCCAGGTCTTGGGTTCGACCCAAGCAGGAAACAATTTTTATTTTTTCTGACTTTTGTTTTGCAGATCCCACAGACGCCTGGTCCCTCTTGTCATTGGACTCGAGGTTTCCGTTTATTCTCACCCCCTAACTATTTTTAAAGCGCCTGGGCCCTCTTGCTGATAGGCTTGATACTTTTTTGAAGCTCACCCCCATTTTATTTTTTTTGCAGGCCCATTTCAATTTTCTTTATTTTTTTTAATTAACATTTCTTTCTAAATCAATTTTATTTCATTACAACATTAAAATCAAAAAATTATAAAAATATTAGGTTAGTCTTTTTTTTAAATTAAATTAACTTGATAAATTAATCAAATAATAACTTTAACTTTTTATTTAATTTAAAAATAAATAGACCTAAGATTTAATTCATTTAATTTCTTTTATTCATAACAAAAATACAAGAAACTTAGAATTATTTTCTTTTTAAATTTCAATTTTATTTAATAATTAACATTTTTTTTCTTTAGATCTAAACTATTTAATTAAGTATCAATTAAACATTTTCTTACATAAAACAAAAACAAACAAATATATTTTCCTTTTTAGGGTTTAAACGTCTTTTCTATTTTGCAAGCGTTATTTACTTTCGCACTTTTTTTCATACTAATGTATTTGCTTATGGGATGTAATAGACTATAATTAGGACTTGTTACTTTACTTCTTTCTTTATTTTCCCCCAAGTTTTGAACTTGTAATAATCCCCCTTCCCGAAGCCTTGTAATAGTTTGATTTATATTTCTTCACTTTTAATTACTGCAAACTATTAACTGTCTAGATGCATGACTAATAGGATTGTATGGCAAGAACATAATAATCAAACGCTAGTCAACCTAACACAAGACAAAAATAACTGAATACAACACACTCTCAAATATACACCTCTAGGGTATCCCTACTTTGGTTGCTTTCGGAAAACAGTCACAACTCTCGAAACGTAAGAGATTTTAGTGGCTACCCTTTGGCTTAAAAGATAAAAAATGACCCTCTCGATGTTGCCTCGGTATGATCTTAAAACCCCAGGGTAGTTACTGTTAGAACAAGATTGGTTCTGATCATATCTCAGAGTTTCTATGATAACAATAAATTATATTTTATATATTTGATACTCTGATAATCATATTTAACTGTTTCAGATAATGTTCTGACAAAGCATCTTGAAGTGCTGAGCT